TACCACGGGGCCCAATCAGAACGTCCACGGGCAGAAGGTCTGTGGGAATCCTGCTGGGTGGCGCCACGTCCTTTTTTCCGGCCCCCCGAGGGGCGCCACGACGCTTTGCCACTTCTGCCGCCAGCAGAAGCCCCGTGAAGCGGAGAAACGAATCTGATCCTCATCAGGGTGACGCCGTCAGTGCCGACCTGGCAGGGTGACGCCGTGGGACCCCGAGGAACCCCCCCGCCTCTTGCAGCAGGTTCGCGCCGCGTTGGCGCGGTGGCTACCCCCCGCGCGGGCGTTCCAGGCTGCACGCCGCCGGCGGCCCCGCTGCGTCGAAGGATCTGCGCGCGCCGTCGCGGGGCGGCGGCCGTGCACGGGCTCAGCGGGGTTGCGCCCGGGTGCTGGAGACGAACGCCGACGTCGTCGCGACGTGAACCCGCCGTACACCCCCCCCTCCCTCCCTTCCCCCATCCTCCTCCGGAGTCCGAGGCGAGTGTCTATCCATCAGCACCGCCCGGGAGATCGCTCGTCGGCGGCCACCACCGCCGCCTGGGGGACCGCTCTTCGGGGATCTCGGCAGGCGGTTGATGTGGGTATCTATGCTCGGGCCCTTGGGGGGCACGCATGTCCATATCCACCGCCTGCCGATGACGACGACGATGACGATGACGACGATGACGATCTCGATGTCGTCATCGTCATCGTCATCGTCGTCATCCATTGTCATCGTCGTCGTCATCGTCGCCATTGTCGTGATTGTCCCAGGCGGTGGTTGTGGATACGGTCACTTATGAGGAAAATCCTGGAGGCCTCGCGCGTCGCGTAATAGTAGTATGATCTAGTCCACTTGTCAGTTCCGTAAGCTATGGGCCGACGCTCGCGCGGCGATGCTCAGGAGTCTGTCCGACGTAAATCCGACGTAGTCCGACGTGAACCCGACGCAAACCCGACGTAGATCCGACGTAATTCGGGTCTCAAGTTGCCGCGCGAGGCCTCCAGGATTTTCTTCATGAGGTCACGAGAGTTTGTTCAGCGCGCCGCTGGTTCTGGCCCACCACGCCTCGGCGCGACACGTGGAGCC